GGCCGTCTATTAAGAAGTTGTAATAAGGTGATTATCATAAGGCTTATATAAGAGGTAGGGCAGTAAGAGAGTAATTAATATACGGCCTTATTATAGCCATATACTAGAAGTTAGTCTAGCAAACTCGGTATAGGGAGATTAACAGGAGTGCGAGTTAGTGGACGGGTATTACAAGCGAGCATTCGAAGGAGGAGGTGCGAGTGGGAGATGTTGATTAGTAGCAGTGACAAGGCCGTCCCTCAACGGACACGATCATCCAAATAGAGCTTTAGTAGGACCTAGTATTCATCCGCTACATATTTACTTACGAATATCCACATTATAATAAAGAGATATAGAAAGCAAAGTAAACAAAGTATGAATAAAGTCGATCATATGAAGATGCCGCGAGCCAGCGGGGCAGGCCCTGGTCTTGGTCATGCATGTTGGGTCGTAACAAATACGTTAGAATGAGAAAATGTTAGTGAGGGAGCCTTCACCGCCTTTAGGACGAAGTCTTCATGGTCTGTGCATTTCTTTAGGCCAATGACAGTACGTAACTGTCATGCCCGTGTAAGAGTCATGCCCGTGTATTAATTCTTCATGCCCGTGTATTAATTCCCATAGACAATATCCTCGTAATATACCATAAGAAAGATAAACACCTCGGGAATACAATAATAGACGGCCTAAAAAAAGCCTACGAGATAAAGAATATAGACGAAGCCAAGTTATATCTCGGTATTTATATTATAAAAAATCGTGCCGCCGGGCATATCTACCTCTACTATAACTAATATATTAAAATAATATAGTAAGGTTCGGTCTTAACAATATTTTCGTACCGGCCACCCCTCTTCTAATAATCGACTTTGTACTAAATAAAGAAACGGCGACTAAAGCCGAAATAAAGCTTTATTAAGAGAATACTAAATTAAATCTATATATATTAATAATAATTCGACCCGACGTCACTTTTACAGTATCTCTATTATTAAGATCTCTTACTAATCCAAATAAAACTTATATCCGCGCTACTAAATAAGTAGTTAAACTTAGAATATTTACTAAAAATTCTAAAACTTATACTTGATTAGTACTATAAGAGCTATGTACTTAAGAAGTTACATGGTAGTAAGAGGCTCAATGTTACGCCCGCCGCAACTTGTCACTGTGAGCGCGTAGCCACATAACGCAGAACAAGGGAAAATGATACGGAGTCATCATTATCGAAACTTTTGCTTTGTGCCACAGTGGGTTGCCTTGACCTGCTCGTAACACTCAACCGAAGTACGTATCTACTCAGATACAACGCTTTGTACGCACGTACAGCCCGAACGTAAATACGCTTTACATATACATGATAAAGCGCCGGCAGGCACATATGCCCGTATAAACTTAATAATAAATGCTCGGACTTAAGCACTATATGTGATTACATGTGATTACATGTGATTACATATGATTACATGTGAAATTTGTATTATATATAGACTACACTTTCCCACCATATCATAGAATAATCATCAATACAATCGATTCTCTAATTATCTCAACTCGTACCTCAACTTATTTATCTTTTCCCTTTTTGCCTACCTCTAACCTCTTAGTGTTAAATATCTTTATTATACCGTATACTTATTAATTTACTACGGAATAAAAAATAGCGCTCATGTCCTTCTCGTAGCAGATAATACTTCGTTCACTAATAGCTTAACTCATTGATCTTTATAGGGATACATCTTCCTCCTCTTGGGTAGAGTCGTCTAGTAAAAGGCAATATGCTAAAGTATTATTATTATATTTATAATAAAAGTAGAGCTTCTAGCCCTCAAATATACTACGAAAAAGACAATAGTACTCGGAAGGCTCTTTAGGGATATCACCCTTAATCTCGGTAACGTTTAGAATACATATTATCATAATTAATAAACGATTCGTCTTATAATAAGAGAAGGGGAATATATCTTAACCTAACTCCGCTACGTCGATATCTAAAATATATAGTTACGATAAAAGTACCTAGCTGGTAGCTTCAAAATTATCTATATACTAACGAATATTATACTAATAGACGGATTTAAAAAAAATCTATTATAAGCAAAGTTAAACACTTCCGAGTACTTCTCAACCTATAGGATATATAGAACGCATCGCCATACATACCCAGGGACTAATTATAATAGAACACAACAACCACGACTATTTTCTTTCTCATTTATACTTACCGCATTCACTATAGATCGTTTTAGAATCTAACAATATCGTATTACAACCGCGCCCTCATTCCACACGGGCACAACTAAGGGGGTATATCGCAGCGCCACACGTACCGCTACCGGTTACTACCATACGATACCGCTTTCCACAAGCCGATTACCTATCTTATACGGTATATAAATATAACCCTCATACGGATCTTCCACTAAGAGGAATCAAGCCACTTTCTACTATACAAGTCTTCCACTTGCTACCTCGCTTTGTAATAGTTATAGAAAACCATAAAAGAGGGGCAAAATCTTGTCTCTTGAAATACAGCAGCAGCCCTTGCTAAGCTGAGACGTTGCTGACTAATTAGTTACCCGTGAGTGTACGGACCCCTGAACTAATTGAGAGCCGCTGTGAGGCCCATGCTTATGTAAGGAGTGGGTATGACACGGGCCAAGCAGAGTGGAAGGGCCTATGTACATAAGCGACAGTTGTCCTTGAAGGGACGTAAGTCAACGCACCCACATTTGGCCACCCCAAAAATCCCTCCCAGCCACCGCATTATTATCCATACCCCAATGTATAAACCACTATAATAATTACAAAAACTATCCAAATGCAATTCTTTTTTGCATGTTTATTTATTGATATGTCATGGTCGTATATACCGAAAATAAAGTTGCTTAGGCTCTTGAGGCTATCGGAGAAGGTCTCTTTATTTAGAGGGCCTCGATTGAGTTCGGAATACCAAGATTAATATTTCGTAATCGTATGAATGGCCACTAGAACAGAGTAACGGCTTTCGCTAAGCTTCAGAGGCTTCCTCCTTGGCAAGAAGATAAGCTGGCTGAATAGGTTCGCATTTAGAACATTCTGGGTATCGCACTATCATATGAATAAATTAGGGAATTTGCTAAGCGAGTTCTGCGTACCTAGGGGGATAATAATTCCATTAGTAAGAAATGGATCGAAGCTTTCTTGAGAAGAAACCCCTTAGTTAAGATCTAAAAAAGTCGAACTATCGACTCTAGACGTGTTAATGGAGCAACTACTAAGGTAATTAGGCCCTGGTTCTGATTACTCGATATACCAGAGATTAGGAAGATCAAATAAGCTAATAGGTATAATATGGACGAGACTGGTATCCTAGAAGGTAAGGGATCTAATGGGCTGGTCTTGGGTATAGCAGAGACCAAAGTAGTGCGGAAAAAAGAGCCTAGATCGCGTGCCTAGATGTCGATTATTGAGTATATCTTAGCTGAGGGCAAAGCCATTAAACTACTGATGATATTCAAGGGAAAGTCGGTCTAGCAGTAGTTAACTTGCCCTATTCGATGGTTGGAAGTTCATAGTAATAGATAATGGCTGGACTATAGACGATAATGCTGTTCGATGGTTGAGAAAGGTCTTCCTGCCCCGGACTGAGCCCCCCCCCCCCTTAGGGGACTCGACAAGCGGAAGGAGCCTCGACTGTTGGTCCTGGATGGGCATGGGAGTAATACGACGACTGAATTTATGTGGGAGTGCTCTATAGATAATGTCTATTTGCTTTTTTTGCCACCATATATATCCCATGTCCTCCAGCCCCTGGATCTAGTAGTCTTTAGACTAGTGAAGACTGCCTACAGAAAGGAGCTTGGAAACTACGATACAATAGATAATTTTACTATTATTGGAAAGCGGCAGTTCTTGGCCTGCTATACGAAAGCTCGTTTGGCTGGTTTGACGCTATATAATATACGAAGTGGCTGGAGGGTAACTGGACTATGGTCTATTAATATGGATAAGCTACTTACCAGCCCACTAATAATCGCTAGCCTATCCACACCGCTAAATAAGACTGTAGAGGCTGGGGTAGTGACTATCAATGCTAGACAAGTTGTTAAATGGGCATCAGCGACGTCTGTTGTTGAGTGGTCGATTCTTACGAAAGCTGGTCAGCTCTGTGGCCACTTGAAGCTATTTATAGAGCTTAGTCCAGACCAAAACTGTTGGATCTCTGAGCAGTCGGCAGAAAAGATGGATCCGGAAGGCGGTATGGGCACTTACAAACGGCCCTTTCACTTATATACCACTTCTGGGAGATCGTGGGCTCTGCCCACAATCTCCTCCTTCCATCTCTAGACGCAGCAATAATAGACCATTATTGACACTTCGTTCCAACCGTACGGTTGCCCTGCTGACGTGTATACCAACAATAACACTCGACGATTGCTGTTCAGAAAGATTAAAAAGGGCTTCAGTCAGCAGGCCTACCAATTGGCTGTCTCTGAGCACAAGGTTCGCCTGCTCCGGGCCCGAATTGACCGCATGGCACCCAGGAGGAAGAAGACTGTATAGACAGATCCAAATACCAGGTTCGCGACCATCGCCGATATATAAAGAGCTCAGGAGGACTCTGGCGACCGTCTCGTTAGTCCTAGTCGACTCGTAGGGGTTAAATCACCTAGTGAAAGTGGTGACTGTATTGTAGTGGCAGTAGAAGGTAGTTAATTAATTGAGTGTAGTTGGTGGTGATGTTTTGAGACTAAGTTGATTGGGGTGGCCAAATGCAGGGGGGGGGGGGCCAAATGTGGGTGCGTTGACTTACTAAAGTCATCACTCAACAGTCAACCAAAGCACGCTCTTAGACTATCTCAAACTGTCCTTACGCGGTAGTCTAAAAACCACCACGCAATTGCTTATTAACTCAACCCCTATCAGTATCTCGAATGCCACCAGTCACATCGAACAACATACAGCTTTCCACCATGGGACAACGAGAGGTAGTCCAGTACCGCTTCTACTGTCCGCCGGGAGTACAGCGCGTCTTAGCCTGCAGAAGTAGCGCCTTCATCGGTGAGGTGGATGGTTCGACTATCCTAAAGTATCCACTGAAGCCGGGAGGTGATTTGACGCGCCTCGAGCTTGAACATAAGATTCTCACCATATTAGTTGGTCAACATCCTCGCATTATCGGCCACAAAGGGTTCAAAGAGACCGGCCTGTACCTTGAGCGTGCAGTCAACGGGACAATCTTCGATTGCCTGACCGCATCAGATATTCCCGCTCCGTCTCTTCAGCAGAGGTTGGCATGGTGTCGTTGTTGTTGTTGTTGTTGTTGTTCTATTTAACGCCATGGCGGCAAGGGCGCAGCCGCCCTTGCGGCAGACCTCCCGGAGGGTATGTGGCGTGAAGGGTCGCAGGCTCTAGCTATATACTATATAGTACACGCCGTATCCTGACGTCCTCCAAATCTTGCTCGTGAGCTACTATGTGTTCTATCCATCCCTAGTTCCCACTGGTGCCCTAGTTCCGTTATAACCATCTGGTTTCTTAATAGAGGTAGTTTGTCGTTTGGAGGATAGGTTATGACCTATCTCCTAGTACCGCGGGCAGATCTTCTGGAAGAAGTCTGTCACGCAGAGGAAGGCCTGGAAGCATTCAGAGTCAGTGATTAGCCCCTTGAAGTAGCGATCGAGGGACCCTATAGGTCCTACGGGCTCCTGGCGGCTGTAGGGGTAGAGGGTGGGCCACTGTTGCCTCCTCAGTAGGGTCTTTCGGCAGTAGACTAGATGGTCTGCCTCCTTAACCCATCCACAGGAGCAGGTGAGTAGTGCTTCTGTGTGTTTAAAGCGTTGGTGATATTGTTTAAAGTCCCCGTGGCCTGACCGTGCCGCGAGGAGATGATGAAGGGCAGCCCTAGGGAGGCCAAGTTCAGGAGGGCAAGCAAGGGTAGCCTTGAGCCCTAGTTGGATATAGCGGGGAGTTGCCTCTTGTTTCCACCATCGTCTATATTGGCGTCTTGGCCGCTCTTTAGCAAGCCACTTGATACCTGATAGAGTAGCTAGTTGGCCCCTAAGGACTGGTAGAGTTGTTCCCTCCTTAGCTAGGCTGTCTGCTTCTTCGTTTCCTTTAATACCTTGGTGCCCAGCCCTCGCCCCCTCCGCCTCACCATCAAACACTTCTGCTAAGCCGAGACGGCCGCAGCCCTGGGCTATACGTTTATTGTTGCGGTAGATAACAAAGCCGAACCCTGTAGCCCCGTCAGGAGCTTTGGAGCCGTCTGAGTATACGACTGTATGCTGACCTGGCACAGTCTTGAGCCAGGCCTGGAAGATCCTAGCTGCTACTTCCTTCGTCTGTGTAACTATAGGGTCATAGGACCCTGGGAGGTATTGCGGCTGTAGGAGCGCTGGCCTTGGACACTTAGGTAAAAGGCCAGCTGTTCTTTGGAGCCTGGTCTGTTGCCGCCCTGGCTGTAGCAGCCTTGGGACCAAGGGATGATGTTGGTCAACCTTCTGCAGGCGTATAGCGAAGCGTAGTCGCGCTGCTTCGAGGGCTACCTCTGCTGTAGGAAGGCCAGCGTCTCGGATGAGGGTGCTGGTCGGTGTGGTTCTCCAGACAGGCAGGATAGCCCTTGCTGCTGCTGTAATAACTTTGCTAACTCTACGGGCCAGGCCCTTCTGTCCTGTACCAACTGTAGGTATCTGTAAAGCAGTGCTACTGCTAGTATTGGTGCCGCTGTTTAGGGCTGGTTTGGTTAGGCCCGCATACCAGGTCTCAACTCCATACAAGGCTGTTGGAAGGACACAGGCAATAACCGCTTGTCGTACTGCGGCTGCTGGGAGTCCCCCTTTGGTATTTGTTAGGTGCCGTAGGAACTGGGCTACCTTCTTTGCCGCTGCCACCTTAGTTTCGACATGGTGACGGAAGGTGAGTCTCTTGTCGAACCAGGCTCCTAGCCATCGTACAGGCTTAGTTGAGGCCTTGATGGTTAGGCCCGTCGCCTGTATATCTGGTAGGTCTTTTGTCTGGTTATATTTCCTGCTGAAGTGGACTGCCTCACACTTAGCTGGGTCAAAAGCAACCTTGTTATCAGTGCCCCAGTTAAGGATATGAGTGATCTTTTGGCCTAGGGCTATAGCATTTCCTTCTAGCGACGGGCTAGTAGCTACTAAGCCTATATCATCCGCATAGCCAAACCGTAGCTCTTGATCGTCGGCTAGGATATCCGCTAAATATAGTAAAAAGAGAATAGGGGATAGTGGGGAGCCTTGTGGTAGCCCACAGGATAGAGGGAAATCCTCTGTAGTTGTATCCTCTAGCCTGACCCGGGCTGCTCGGCTAGAGGTAAAGGTGAAGATCAGCCTAATCAGATGACTAGGCCAGCCCTGCTGTCGTGGCCTGATAATAAGTCGGTTTCTTAGGACAGAGTCAAAAGCCCCTTTAACGTCCATTGTCACAAGAGTTGCAGTGAGCCCTGAGTCTAGAGCCCTCTCGATCTCGTGGGTCAGACAGGCTGTTAGGTCGACTGCAGCCCTGCCTGGTAGTGCTCCAACCTGCTGTGGGCTAGCAACCCCTTCTAGGATAGTAAGGTAGGCCATCCTTTTTGCTATTAGCCGCTCTAGGCCTTTACCTAAGCAGGATAAAAGGGATATCGGACGCCAAGACCCAGTCTTCGAGAAGTCTGTTTTCCCTGGCTTCTGGATCATGACAACTTCTGCTTTGCGGAACGGTCGAGGGAAGTGGCCTACTTGAATACAGGCCTGGAAGAGCTGCTGTATAGGCCTAGCTACTGATTCCCAGGTGTGTTGTAGTAACTTTGTAGTAATCCCGTCAATCCCAGGGGTTGTAGTCTTTGTTAGAGTAGCCTGGCGTACTTCTTCCATGCTGACCACATCCTGCCAGGGCATTAGACGCCGTGCAACTACTGGGATAGCGAAAGGGTCCCCAGGTAAGTCGTCTGTAGCGTTAAATCTCTCTAGTAAGGCCTTTCGTAGGGCCTGGGCTTTATCGTAGCTGTTGTCGATTGTCTGACCTTCCACTATAAGAGGCGGGCCTTTAACAGCTAAGCCAGCCTTCCGCCAGCCTACTATCTTATATAGGTCTTGGTCTGTCTTAGCCTCTTCGATCTTAGTAGTCCAGTAAGCGCGTTTTGCCCTTCTAACAGTTGTTAAGAAGGTTTTTGCTCCTCTAGGATGGGGGGAGGTATAACTAGCCCAGGTTCCTGGGCCTGCTGGCGCCTAGCCTCGATAGCAGCTCGGTGGGCTTCTGCACACTCTTCTGTCCACCAGGGGCTCCCCTACCCTGATTTGTCCGTCTCTTACCTACAGCTTGAATAGCTGTATAGAAGAGGCTGACTAGTTGGGTAGCTAGAGTGTCCAGCTCTGCTGGACTAGGTACTTCCCCTAGGGTAGGTAAGGCTGAGGATCCAGCTCTTACTAGGTCGATAAGTCGGGGTAGGGCTGACTCTGGGACTGAGAGGTGGCCAGTCTGGCGTTTCTGTTCCTGGGCCTTGCCTATAGGGATAGTTGTTGTGATAGCTTGGTGGTCAGCCCCTGGGTGCAGGTGTGGGCTAATATAAGCCTCAGCAAAGGGGATATTTGAGAATGTTAGGTCGAGGGTATGCCTATGAGTATGGGTAGGGACCCCAACCTCCCCAATAAACGAAAGATCGTAGCCTTCAGCCCACTCTGCAATATCGTCCCCCCGATTCCGGCTAGGGGAGCCTGGTTCCCAGGTAGGGTGGCGGGCGTTAAAGTCCCCTGCTATAAGGGCTCTTTCTGGCGGATAGTATCCTAGGAGAGCAGTAGTCGTGTGGTTTGTCGGCTCACCTGGCGGCCTATATACGTTGATAATAGTGAAGTTGCCAGCCTTAACCCATAAGATATCTCTCGTTTGGGTAGGCCTTTGTTGCTGTATTTGTAGTCTTAGACTCTTGCGTATATAGGTCATAACCCTAGGTCTTGTATCTCTGTTGTTCCAGAAGTCAACTGGGATATAGGAGTTATAGCCTGGGTGTGTGTTGATTTGCATCTTATCTCTATAGCCTATCCAGGGCTCCTGGATCAGTACTATATCGATCTGATCCGCCCAGCAGAGCTCTAGGAGAGCTGTATGAGCTGGGCTTCTCTTCCCCACGTTACACTGGGCGACTCGTAGTACCCGTGGGGAGGCTGGCCTGAGCCTACTGCTCTGAGTCGAGGTCGAGGTGGGTGTAGGCATTAATAACGTTGTAATCAGGCTTCTGCGCCACCCGCTGAGCCCTGCTGCTTGAGGTAGCTAGGGTAGGTTGGCTGGGTAGGGGGGGTAGGACTGGGTCGTCAGGGGCTTGCAGCCCTTCTGCTTCAGCCCCATTCTCATCTTCATCCATGCTGCTACAGCTAGCCGCATCACTAACGTCCGCTACAACAATTGAGTCCTGGGTAGGGGTAGGGGCGCGTGGGCGCTTTGAGCCGGGCTGATGGCTCGTTAGGCTGTTGCTAGGTTGCTGGGTGTTGCTGGCTTGGGTGCCAGCCTGGCTGCTCTGATAGAGGGCCTCATAGGCCTTCTGACCAGCCTTACGGATCCGGGAGAGTTCCTTCCGGTCTGGGAGGGTAGGGGAGCCATTAACCACTAGGGGCCTTGCTGGACAGTCCTTATGGTTAGCTTGGAAGGGGCCGGAGCAGTTGGCGCACTTCGGTCTAGCTATGCAGGGCCCAGTCTCGTGGGATCCCGAGGGCCTGCTACAAGTGCTACAGAGCGGCTGTCGGTTACAGTATCGGTTCGAATGATATCCCTGGCATCCAGGGTCGTGTCTGATTAGGGTCTTCTTCTTTTGGATAAGCTGAGACCTGCTGCTTTGGTTAAACAGTCTGAAGGGTGGTACTTCCACAGAGAAGGAGATGACCCAGGAGACTTCGTTTGTAATAGGGTTTACACCTAGCCGGGACTGCTGGGCCCGGGTAGGCTTACGTCCTGTTTGGGCAAGGACCTCATCTTCTACCAGAGTAGCTGGGTCAAGGGCGTCGCCATCAAGAGTCCACATCTTAGCAGGGCAACGTGGGACGACGTAGGTAAACCACTTAGTAGGGGTCTCAACCTTATAGGCTCCAAGACACTCTGCTAGTTTCTGTTTGTTTGCAAGGAGGGCTTGCTGGACCTGCTTATTCAGGGGTCTCAGTGAGTAGCCAGTTGCAATATGGTAGATGTGTGGGATATCTGCCAGCTGGAGCCTAAGGGCCTGGCAGACTGTCCGGCGTAGGGCGAAGGGGGCGTGCTTCCTAGCAGCCGCTAGGCCCTCTTCTGGGATACGGGTAAAGACCCGGAGGTCCTCCTTCGGTTGAGATAGACCCTGGGCCCGGGTCTCCGTCAGACTCTGTGTCTGGACTTCGGGCCGGGTGGGGATTCGGGTACGGGTCGGGGCTACGGCCACGGCTGTAGTTGAAGCCGAGGCTACTGCGTCAGTCCATTTCCGGCTCGGAGCCGGAGCCGTAGTCTCGTTACCCATAATCCTCTTCAAGGCTTGGATTACATAGGTTGTAGCTTCTTTTGCAATCTGCTTCCTAGGCCCCTCAAAGCAAGAGATCACGTTGTCCACAGACTGAGCAATAGCCATAAAGACGTCCTTTCGGGCTTCATGGTGCTTAGCCTCTTCATTAAGAGCTGTAAGGACAGCTCCAGTAGCTGTCCCAGTCATAGTCGAGGGCCCCTTAGCCGTTAAGGGGGTTGTTGTTGGGGCGTCGGGCTGGCTTCCCACGAGGCTGGGCCGGAGTGGCTGGGCCTCGGTTTCGCGGCGGCGTTTAGCCCTTGAGGATGGGGGCGGCTCTGAAGAGGGTCCAGAGCCTCGATCAAGGCCGGCCGAGGAGGTCGGCAACGGTCCAGAGCCCGCCGGAGGCTGCGAGGCCATCGCGGGAGGGCGCCGGAGTGTGTGTGTGTTATATTTAACGCCGTGGCGGCAAGAGCGCAGCCGCCCTTGCGGCCGACCTCCCGAAGGGTATATGGCGTGGAGAGCCGTCGCCCTATAACTATTGCTAGATACAGTTCAAATCGTCCTCCAAATCGTGCCTTATGGCTACTATGCGTTCTATCTGTCCCTGGCTCCCGCTGGTGCCCCAGTTCCATTCTTGAATTTTGCGGCTTAAGGCCGGATATGTCTGGAGAGGGCGGCCTGCCGAAACAGGCCCCTCGTACATGTTCTGATTTGTACAAGACCATTCCTGCCCCAGTACTAGGTTGACGACGTGTACTCGCCGCCGAGGGGGCCCGTCAGGGCCTACGGCGAGCACTGCACCTAGCTGCCACCTCCCCCACTACAATCCATCTTTGCCTCGATAATACTGGCGTTCTCAACTTCATCTCGGGTTTCGGACGATCTCCCGCCAGCTCGCAGGCTGCTATGCTTGAGATACTCGACGCCCAGCGGGCAAGGGATATAAAATGCCACTGGTCGCCCGGACATACCGGGATCCCTGGAAACGAATTAGCTGATAAGCTTGGTAAAGAAGGAGCCGCTCTCCTACTGCCTGACCCTCCACCGCTAGCATCATACGCTGGGATAGCGAAGATGGCCCGCGCCAGAGCCCGTGGCTACCATTCACGATGGTGGCATACTTCGAAGCAAAAGCTCAAACCAGGCTATAAGAAAACTGACGCTGCCCTCCGTTGCCCTCCGGAACTGGACCTACGGCGTCCTCTTTTGCACCACCTCCTCGCTGCTCGTTCTGGCCATGGCCATTTCCACGCCTACCACAGGCGCTTTCAGCACGACGGAGACTTCAAATGTAACTGCGGGCGGAAATTATCGCCTACCCATCCAGTATATTGCACGAAGAACCGCCGTACCTCGGCGCTATGGCCGATTACCGGGACCGTGGACGATCCGGGACCACTACCGCCCCCGATAGGCCTGGCCGAAGCCTATTGGTACGCCCTGGTCAGAGACCCGGGTGCCTTTGAGAAGTTCGAGCGTGTGACGCGCTACTATGAGGCTCACTCTCTGCAAAGATAGCGAGCCCGAGATCCCGCGCCTCACAACTCTCTCACACACCCACCGACGCCTTGAGGCCCCGGCCTTACCACACCCCTCTCTCTTCCGTCCTCCTTTATCTTCTATATAAGAAAATATAAGAAAACAGAAAAATGCTCGCGTAGGCAAATATGCCTCCGAGGGCCGGTTACTTGTTGCGGCAACGCCGTCTGTGGACGGCGTAGGGCTGCTAGAGACCCATTCGCTTCTGCCGAGTCAGGGACCCCCTGCTGGCGTGCTTTTTGGAACTGAACGGACCCTGGGGATTAGATACTAAACTCCACTGCTCTAGGCACGAGAAGAAAAGTGTACATTATAGACTGCCTGACTTGTCGTACGCTATAATGGCGGCACGGCACATCATATGCCCAAAGGGCGCTCTGGTTGATCGGAGCTTAGTTACATAGATAGCTGGGCACCTGTCCCTGATGATGTAAAACACCACCACTACTACTACTACTACTACACCAATCGCTTTAAGCTCCCTCTCTTCCAAGCTACTGGGCAGACCTGCCTTAGATCTGTTTACAACGCTGCGTTTGGCCTTATCGACAACGAGAGACTAGAGGGTTTCCAGTTTCTCTCAGCAGGGATCCGCCAACTCATGGACCAACACTCAGTCCGTTACCCCACTGTTATTATTACAGACTACGACAAGCAGATGAAGGCTGCACTGAATGAGCAGTTCCCAGACGTTCAGCAACAACTCTGCATCCACCGCATCAATTCTAACGTTATGCTCAGGGCTAAGCAGAAGTGGGTTAAGGACCGCAGCTGTAGCAGTAACAGCAGTGGGTCTGATGACGAGGGATGTCAGCTACCAATACAAGCAATGGCCACGCTAAGTGATGAGGATGAGGCCTATATCAACACATCTGTTGATGAGCCCCCCCTCCATACGTATCGTGGGGTCCTTATGATGTGGAAGCTTGTTGTTTTTGCTGAGACTGAGCACGCTTTTGAGAAAGCCTGGACCAAGCTCTGTAAAGAGTTTAACGACCAACGCCCAATCCTCCAGTACCTCTACACAACATACCTACCTTTAAGAGCACAGTAGGCCCGCTGCTCTATTCGAAAATACCAGAACTTTAGTGTTCGCGTCACCTCTAGCACTAAGTCAAGTAATAACAACATCAAGAGTTATCTCTTAAATAGTCTTAGTCACCTATATCGACTTGTTGATGTTATGCAGGACATGATTAGTGACCAGGAGATACGCTTCAGGCAAGCTTATGCTGAGGATGAAGTGCTTACAGGCCGGGAGTATATAGGTAATCGCTTTGAGTACCTAGGCGAACTTCGAACGATGCTTTCCTGGAAGTGTCTTGTATGAATTGGGAAGCAATACCGGCTGGCAAAGAAGGCAATGCCGTCTGGCACGAGGCCATTCCTAGCCCCCCTTGGAGACTGTGGTCCAGACTGTACTGTTTTAGTTGAGCTGGGTATCCCATGCTGCCATAAGATCTACTCCCAAAAGTTAGATTCAGCTATTTTCAGTAAATGGGAGGTACACCCTCGGTGGCGTCTTCGAGAGACGTCTTCCTTAGATCTATACCGCCGGATCCTTGACCCTAAGATTGCTGCATCCCTCCGTGGCAGGCCAAAGAACACAGTGCAGCCTGTCTTATCACAACTAGCCTTACCTGCAGAGGGCCAGTCAGCCAGACAAGCCCGCACTACCTACAGCAGCCAAGGCGCAAGTAGTAAGAAGCGAGGCCGCCCACCTGGGAGCAAGAATAAGTCGACGCTAGCTAGGCTTACATAAGAGATAAGTTAGCTAAGTTAAAGCCAGATATCAAGCTCATCCTAGCGACAAACAAGGAGCTAGTCTAGTGTTCTTGGTAAGTGGAGGATAACAGGGAATCATACAAGTGGACGGCCGATGCAGCCTAGTGTTCGGAGGAAACGGAGTCAGTGGGAAATGGTCTGTAGTGACGATGAATCTTTGCAACCACGTCGCAAAAGGTAGTTAGGTAATAGGCCTTTCGAGGGGTTATATAGTCCCTATTTGAGATTTACAAACTGGGGTATAAGTAGGCTGTAATACGTACTTTTAGAAATCTCAAATCCGAGCTTAGGTTAGAGAAGAGGGCAGGAATAGCCATGTTAGTGCATTCACCCTCACCGCCTTTATGGGGAGGTATTGTTCCTTTGAGCTAATCAAAAGGTCGAACAGCGACGCCGGTGTAAGGTCGACGCCGGTGTATCAATTTGCGACGCCGGTATATCAATTCCCTTATCTTAACGGCGCAGTTTTCTGTCTCACTCGCTTATCATTCACGTTAGTCTAAGTTATTAAAATTTATTATTCACTTGATAGTACCTACTTAAACAGGCTAGCTTCCTTTATTTAATTATATATTAATCTCCTATTCATTATAACTCACTTTCTTCTACACTCATAGCTTCGGATTGCATCATTGAAGCGGCCATTACCGTCAGCTAAATTATCATCATCCTGGTTACGATATGACTCGCCGCGACATTCGCGCTCCCTATATATAAAGAATACTTTTCTTAGCTCAGAAACGTTTTGAACAGTAGTGCTCTATCTAACTAGGGTTAGACTTACCGATACCAAATGCAATTATCCCTGTTCCTATCATTGTTGCGAATAGAACTGATGCGGTCGACGAAATCCGCCGGGACATTATCTACCCAGGTCTTATGTGTGAGTAAGATGCGAGCGGATGACTAGGCATAGGGCTAGGCGCCCAATCCAATGGAAATACTGACAGCAGGATCCAGTCTGTATGACATCTGTTCGGCAGCGGCCTCTGAATCGGGTGTCGTCACACATAAAGACGGTAGCTTCAGCGCGAGCAAAGACTGCTAGGGATGAAGCATCGTCAACAGGAACAGCGGTTACCATTGCAGCAAATGCCCCTAGGCAGGATAGAGTCAATGTGATGGAAACCATTATGATCAAAGTGTTTGTAGGGTTAGATATGGTGCGTATATAAAAGGATACAAAGCTCCTGAACAGTTTGCGTGAGGGATGGGGTATAAATACTGGCCCGATAGGTCTAAGACCACCAGCCCTACTTTCTTTCTCTCGACCGTCTGAAACAAAGGCTATACGATATCAGTTAGGTTTCCTTGTTCCATGAACCCCACTATGATTGGTTTTCTTGACGCTAGTAGTTAAATTGGTATATCCCCGGTATACTGGTTTCATCATTTCATCGCCATTCCTAGATCAGATTGAACTATTATACTGAGTGTATCCCGGGCTGCGGAACGCCACGATATGCTTATCACGGCATAAGACAAACGATGAGCAGACGATATCTTGAAAGAGCGAGGTTTCCGCAAATTCAACTTCTCATCATTCAGTGTGCGATTGGAAAGACCCTTCAAACTCTGTGCTGCTTTTCTAATTAAGACGGCATCTTTCACACACGTGCAGCACAGATCTTGCCCTCCATAGCAGATCTGGGCAAACACATCTGAAGTAGTATGCAAGACCGGGTACCTCTTCACTTTCGAGGGGCTTTTTGGATGAAAGGTCTAGATGAAATTGAGTTCCTAAACCCACCTCTGATGCACTTACTCTAGATCAACTTTTTGAGACCCAGGCAAGCCAAGCTTGTGACATCGATATCTTTGGCGTGCGCTCGGCCTCGAAATCAAACGAAAGTGGTTTGAAGTCGCGCCTCATCAAAGCAGATGGGTGGTCATCTGAGCTGAAGCTTCGTCTCTTGAACCTAAGACGCGATGCCGTCACTGTTGTGCCACATGAGCACGTGCTCGGCAGCGCTTCAGCGGTCGTCTTTCGATTCAAGTCACTCACTTTGTCCAGCCTCACTATTGTTATTCCATATAGAGTTTATTTCACAGACATCGGTATCGAGCGTAGTTGGTCAGCTTCGTTTGGCTTTCGACATTAAGTTCGGAGTCTTGTCATCGGACGACAACATGGCCAAAGCTCCAGGCTGACGCTTGCCCCTCGGGCCAAGCCGTCTATTACATCTCGCAGTCGACCTTTTAGTGGCTGTGACATTCCACAGACACGGAAACTCGTAGTGTTACGGGGCAGTCTCTATGAAGTTCCCTTACTTCGTTATTGGATTCTCGTCCATTCTTGCTAGTGTTACACTCATGGATCACAGAACATATCATAACAAACCGAGAAAGTTCCTGCTACCCTGAAGCCTCTCCTGCCTGTATTTCTACCTCGGCATACTCGTTTGCAACAGCGTGTCGTCTGTCCATAACTTGAAAGTTCACCATGATACCTATGATCCAAGTCATGATCCCAACGTACAATTTCTCTGCCATGATTCTTCTAGTGACTTGATGCGAAATACTTTAGATCTCCTAGCCCTCCGCCTTCCAAATCGTGTGTTGCACGTATGTAAATTAGGGGCAGACTGGATGTCAAGCTATAACCAAGTCAGAAACCTTGTCGTTGAAGATTCATTTCGACAAATGACACAGCCGCTCACTAGATGTGTTTCTTTTCAATGAAGTTGTCCTTCGTTTCCAGCCCTTCATCTCCTCCACTGCAAGAGAAGACCTCGGAAAGGTGTGGCGAAAGTGCTCTGACAGTAGAAGCACGCGCCAATCCTCCGTCAAATAACACATCGATTTATGTCGATGAGCTTCTCAGTTTGGAGGTCAAGAGCTGAGGCAACCGGAGAGGATAATGGGCAGACCCCGGCGTTTGATATGACGGCGATTGGGCCAGAGCTGACACTGTAGTCTAGCAAGTGAAAGCCGTACCCTGTAATGTTGGATGTTTATAGAATAACAACTAGTCTTAGTTAGTCTAGTTTCGATTTACCAAATGTAAATACCTACCCTCAAGTTTGGACTCACTATTTGGCACAAGCGGTTTCGGATACCGATCGTCAATTATCCAGATAGGATAAGGACGCTAGTAATCTGCCTTGCTAAATGTGCTAGAATGGGTTCAGATAAGATGATAAACCCTGAACTACTCGCCCAAGTAGCTACGCCGTTGGTCTGCAAACAATGTTTGCAGTCTAGTCCTTACGTTCTCTGAACCGTGAGTTTCAGTTCCCACATCGTAACCACTCCTCAACGAATACTAAGCATCTTGGTTCATGGGTACAATCAGGAGGCGAGTCCGCTTTACTCTTGCGGGCGACAATAGGAGCCTCGTCCCCTTTCCAGTCTTCCCAGCCCTTCCAGCCTTTCCTTCCTTGCCAGGTTCTCTAGCCTTTCTGGTCTTTCCAGCCTTTCGCTCTTCGCCTGCCTGTTTGGCCCCCGATATACGTAAGCTGACTTTTGATTAGCTTCTCGATTTGAATAAAGATAAACGTTAATACGCGTATACTCACACTAGCCCGGCATGGTCTCCTTGCATGATTCTCGGCGTTCGACTCGATAACCAAATGCAGGGGGTTGATATAGTTAGCCTGTCCATACAGGTGGCTTGCTTTTAACCCCTGGAATAGACGACGTCTGGCCTTTTTCGAATGAAAATTAACAATGGCTAATCGGTGGCTCTACTATCCCATCGAGTGCCACTTGACCCCATTTTCGCCAAGGGCGGGGTAGAGCCAATAAGGGGTTGTGAATCTATTGAGTTAACCAATAGGGGCATAGTACCTCAATTTCCTATATAATTTTGGTGTGCCAGAGGTTCCAGCACTCTCCATCAATACACAACGGTACATTGCAATCTAAGCAGCCCTTCCGTGTTTTCTTTCTTTTCTTAATGAGGTTATTCCCAGATATCTCACTTAGGGTCTGGCGGGCCCTTAATGCCCTCAGATTACTACAATAAGAGCAAGGCGAATTAACCTTCCTCGACCCCTTCCTATGCTGTTCCCATGGAATAGAGGTATTCCTTCTATCTGCAGCCCGTCTAGGCCGTGACCTCTGCCGTCCTTGTGCTAATGGTCCGAACTGCTGGATAAGCTGGGCTGCAAGCAGCTGCCGCCAGCGGTAGTGGGTTTTTACCTTCTGCCACCTAGGGCTGCCCGAGAGCTGCAGTAAGAAGCTATTCACAAATACCACTTCCAGCAGGATATTACAGGCAATTGACTGCCAGCCCCCTCGACGTTCTGGAAGACAGTTGATAGAAATAGTACAAGGGCATTATCCTTCCAGGTAAACTGGTTAACCTATTTACTAGTTAGCTAGGTAGGTAGGCTGGCTGGGCTTGGCTAGGCTGCTAGCTTACCTCCCCATCTAAAGTAGGGATACAGTGTACTTCAACCCAGGGGATATCTCCTCCCTCAGTCTCTTTCTCTTTAACTAAGGTCTTATATATCCCACAATCCTTTCGGCAAGTACCAGAAGCTCCAACCTGTTGGTTCCGTAAGGTATGAAAGAGACGTATAGAAGCAAAGAGGTTGTCAAGAAATACGTGGTAGGTTGCAGCTGGAAGTAGGGAAATAAGAGTAGTTACTACCTGCTGTGTTGGTGTCAACAGAGCCAGCTTTCCAGCAGCCAGCTGGGCTGGCTGGGCCTGGGGGACTAATGCGTATGGGCCCTTTCCATGCACATACCACAGCCACCGTATATAGCAGCCAGACTGGGCAAGGATCCAGATCTTATAGCTAGTTGGGATAGGCTTCGTTGGAATCGTCGTTGTCTTAAGAGATCGACCTGTAAATCGGACCATAGCCTCATCAACTGTAAGGTCTGAACCAGGTATATAGAAGGAATCCCCAGTCTCTTGGATGTGGGCTGACCACTGGTTAACCTTCTGGTATACGTCTGGCATTTGATCTTGGGCCTGGCGCTGGCCTCGGCCCCGGCCCTGGCTGGGCTGGCTAGGCTGAAATTCAGCCGTGCTAAATATCCGTAGTCGCCGGAGCAGTAGTTGGAATCGGTTTCTAGAAATAAACCGCGTAAATAGGTGGATAGGATCCTCCGTTTGCTGTTGGGTTGACCAATAGGTTGATACTGTAGATTCCCTATGGATCCCTATGTATAATAGGATCCCTAGGAAGAGGTAGATCTCTGTTGGATTCGCAGGTGGAAAAGGAAAATACTCGAGTATCGTGGGTAGCAACGATCACCGACTGTAGTGGTGATATTGCTTGTTCTTGTTGTTCTTGAGTGGAAGTCTAACCAGGTGCCAGCGGCGGCAGGAAGTCTGGGGTATACCACCCTCGTGTGGCTGAGCCACACGGACCACCGTGGCTGGAACGGACCGCGGCAGCAACCTCCTGCTGCCTAATGTAGGCCTATTCCAACAATCTCTTTTACTGAAGTCTGCCGCCATGTTTCACTCTAGACGTTCTAGCCCTAGGGCCAGACAACGGCACCGCATTTGTCCACTGGGCCCACTGCTCCACGAGGCTCTGCGGATCGTATTGGACGAAAAGGTCCAGCGGGCTTGCCGGCAGCTGCCGTACCTCTTGAGCCCGGGCCGGCACGTCAAAGGGCCGGAAGGAGCCCGGAAGACCATGCTCGGTAGCTGGAGGTTCGTGGGGCCGGACTGTTGCTGCGTCACAGCGCTCTGGCGTACAGTCTGTATTGCAGGCAGCAGTAAGGTCTTCTGGAAAGATCTCAACTACTATACAGCTGCGTACGGAAGTATCAGAAGCATCAGAAGCAATAGAGGTATCAGAATCACTAGAAGACATCACATCATCAATCCAAATGGTAGTAATAGTGGTGATAATACGCAAAAGAGCATAGGGATAAATGACGTACTGTTAAGTACCCCTTTAAATGCGGGGTAAAAAAAAGTAAAGAGTGGGTATTCTGGGTCTTGGCGAAAATGGGGTCAAGTGGCACTCGATGGGATATGTATGGTTGCTTCTTTGCTATCCTTGGTAAGCGTGGCCTCGTCTTAACGTACCCCTTTTTTAACGACTTATGTTAATATATAAGTATACTTGTGAATAGTAATTCGGATGAAGGGGTCATATACTTTTGGTAGGACGCTTCTGGCAAAGGATGCATCCATTCCGCGACCTCTTTGCTCGTCTGTAA